ATAGAAATTGCTGCACGCAAAATTTTTAATTACAACCGCAGCACCTTTGCTCTTATAGCGCTGTCAGAGCAATTTTGTTTGTATAAAAAAAAATTAGTTTATAAAAAAATAATTTGTTTTAATTGCTTTTTAAATGCCTCTTAATTTGGTGGAAAGAAATAAAAATTAATTCGTTTTAAAAGCTTTTTCGACACCCAATTTAAAACATATAAAACATCTTCCCTATTATTTTAATTATTAAAAGTATGGTTTTACTTCAAAGTAATTAAAAATTACACTTTTTATGATAATATAATTGTTTAAATTTTTTTATTTAATTTTGATTCATATCAACTATTTGGTAAATAGTTGGTTGTGCGCACTTTAACTGACTTCATATGTTATACATTATGGTATTCAACCAGTTATGTTGAAATATATCAATAGAGCCCGCAGAAGATATTTAAAATATTCAATTTTTATCTAATTTGATTATAACAGATTTGAAGTCTAAAATTACATTTAATTTAGAAATAAAATTAATATATATTAGTATTCCTACAGAATGTGAGGAATGTAAAAATTTCTCACCCATCGCAAAGTTGACTTTGTTGATCCTAATCTAGTTGCATAAGTCATATTTTATCAGAATTGTGATCTTATGTAAATATTATTCTCACTTTTATATAAAACCAACAATCGAAACTCGTTATAACCAACTTATAATACTCATATTTGTTTGCTGATGCAGGTTTGTATATAGAATAACTTCAAAACGGTTACTTAGCTAGTTAAATAGCAGTATGTACTCAGTATATCTTTTCAAATAAAAAAAGTTACTCTAGTTCTTTTCGTCATTTACCGCTATAGAAAATATTTATCATAAAAGAATGTTCACTTATCTCTCCCACATCGCTAAAAGGTAAGATATAAGTTGGATGTGGTATTGGGCAAAGGTCTGATAGTTTTTAAGTTATAGTTTTCATAGTAAATAAATAGTTCAGGGTTAACTGCTCTATTTGAAGTGGAAGACAATTTAAACATCGATAATGCCCATAACTTTATAATGCCCATATTTCTCAATGAAAAATGTTTTTTATTTATTGAATAAAAGAACAATATAGGAAACTGTATTTTCGACGAGAAGGTACTAAATTCTTGTAATGTAATTATGTTTTGAGTAGTTGTTAATAGTAAATCGTAATTTACATCATATAAAAATAACGATTAACGAATCGTGTTAATGTTTATATAAATTAAATTATTCAAACGATTTAAATTAATCGCGTAATACTAATGTAATTAGTAATTAGCTGTAATTGTAATTTTGATCAAATTTTTACTTCAATATTTAGTTGGATTCGAGCCATTAGTTGTAAATTACAGCATGATTGCAATGTCTTCCACGGGATATTTTACAGAACTTAAGTTTTTGTTACTTGTCGGCACATATCTGACTATAGCTCGGCCATAATGCGATTTTTTGTTTTTAAGGTATTGTGAGCTTGAGGATTATTCGTATTAACACGATACGAATGTTTTAAAACTAAACAATGTAGTGGTGACAAATGTTAAAGTTTTGAATGCCAATTCGCTTTTCAGAAACTTAAAATTGCTCCTCCAGAATAGTTCTCGTACAGCAAAGTCAAAACAGGAATTGTTATGTGGTTTGTTACACTGTCCTGTTGAAATCACATATCTCTTCTATCCATGTCTTCAATTTCAAGCCAAAAAGAAATTAAGAATCAAGTTATAGTGATCAAAATTAGGAGTTTGTTTTATCTTCGACATTTTTTAGAAAACACAGTGCACATTAAAAAGTGGGGTGTAGAGGATGCAACTCAAATTAGAGCATTTCAAATATCCAACAGCCGAATAATGAATTTTGAATTTGAATAATGAATGAACGAATTTTTTTTTAACGCTGAAGAAAATCTTAAGGCTTCTCAGTTTTAAAATATTTAACTTAACTATTCATAAAAATTGATATTATTCATAATAATGAGTTCACAGTTATGTATATATCTGCGTTGTATCGAATGTAGAAACTAAACTTGTAAATATAGTAAACAATATGTAGTATATAAGGTGTAGGTAGTATATAAGTAATGTAATTAAATATATCTTTTAATGTAATTAAAAGCATCATTCAAAATGTCAGAATTGCAAATCAGTGAGTTCCTTTGGTGGATATTTTGATAGTTTAATAAAATAGAAATGAAAAAACAAGTCTACTAAATGCATTTTCATATAATACGTTTTTTGATATCGACAAAAGATAGTGATTTATTAAAAATATACATTATTTATTTCCATTTTATTTAAATTTTCGATAGTTAAAAATAGTTAATCTATCGGGTAGGCCATACTCCCCGTTTCCTACTTTCGTTTACTTTTCCCTCTGTAATGTGAAACCTCAGTGATTTCAAGATATTTCATCTCATAAACAGCCCATGAGACTGTTAATTTCTTTTGATATATCCACTATTCAAGGACTTCGATCTTCAAAGACTTCGATAAGAGACAAATGAATCTAAGTTATTGAATTTGACAAATATGTCATAATGTGTAGTGGTTGACACATTTTGGTGATTCTTACTAAGTCGATCAATTAGGTTTCTAAGTTGTTATGCCGAATGATAAGTGATTAATTTTTCATCCAACATGATATATAACATAATTTTAAATACCATAGTTTAATCAGCATTTGCATATATGTTAAAAAATATTGGTGAGATGTGTCCTTGTCTAATTTGACAACGTTTAGTGTAATTTCTTTCACTATCACCATCCACTTCGGTGTTATCATAAACGCTTTTTATCATACAAATTATTTTATCCAGCTGCTGTAAGATTGCATATGAAAAAGTAGAATGTAGAAAAAAATAAAGAAAAGGTGCCAGTTAACAGAACCTTTTCCTTTTTTACCTTTTTTTTTAACAAAAAAGCGATAAATAATTTACCTATTAGTAAATTTATCAAACGAACTATTAATTGTAAAAAACATTTGTAAATCGCACGTCAAAAATACTTATTAGTTTATATGGTCTCCGGCGGCTATTATTAAATTAATATTAAGTTTGCTAAACGCTTAAAATTAATTAATAAATTTTTATGATATAAGAGATAGTGTTTTAACAATTTAAAAGCAGAAATGAATGTTTTAAAGCTTTGTAAACACAAAAATATAAATAAAGAGACTTGAAACAAATTTCAATAATGAAACGATAAGAGTCGAAATAGAACACTTAATAGAACATTGGGCTTGCCTGTAATTGCACACCTATTTTTGTGAATTAATTAGTTAGATTAGCGAATAAAGAACTGCGTAGAGATAAATTCTTTTTCATATATGAGATAAATCTGCTCTATATATGAGTATGACTAACTGCTAAAAACCATTTGGTTTTACACAATAAGAAATATTTCTGAGATTTATGAATATTTCGTTGAATAAGGAGACAATCTAATCGTTGGATACTGCAAATAGAATGTGAGGTCTGGTGTTAGTATTGTATATTTATTAAGCTTAAAAGGCAATTAATAAATAGAATTATGAAATTAATAATTAATTACGCGAACTTGATGTTATGCAACACATTTCGAAAGGTGCGCCACCCACATTAAAACGGCTTATAAAGTCGTTTAAATAAAAGCAAATATTACGAGTACTTTAAGTATATGAGTGATCAGATTAAATTATATTTTTAAGTGGCTTTAATATGAAAGATACATTGACTAATTTAACAAATTTGATTCCAGGAAAATTTTGCATTCGAGTCTTTATTGCAAACATTTCATTTATAAATGTCAGGTCATTTATTTTAAGTATTTCTTTTTTACGGAATCACCTATTTGCCAAGAAATAGTGTACGCATTGAAGTAGCGCACCCAATTTGTTTACGTTTAAAGACCCAAAGTTTGACCTGCATTAAATAATTCAGTTTTGAAACCGATTCTGATTGAATAAATTAAATTCAAACAATTGAAAAAGTAATTTAAGAAACTATTTAACTTTTACTTTTTTTAAATTAATCCAGGGGGCCGCATTTTGTTGCTTAACTCCGAAGAGTCAGTGCATTCTGTCTTCTTGTTATACTCGAATTATAAGATCAGAGAACAAAGCTTTGGTCCGCAGGGGAACGCCTTTAAACATTAAATGACCTTTGAACTGAACCGTATTTTGTCTATTGTGTGAAGTCTCAAAGGTTCGTGCGAATAAAACAGTTTTTGAATGTTTGCCGAACAATGTTGATCCCAAGACAATAAAACAAATGAGCTAATTGTACTCAGAGTCCGGCTGTTTGAAGGGGGCAACTGTTGGAGTGCAGTCGGGTCAGTGGGTTCTGCTTTTTCTTGCTTACTTTTAAGCTTGTTTTGATTTCAAGCTAATCTTAAGCTGTTGTTTACACTGATAAGTGATTGTAAATGGTCACTTGTGTGCTCATTTAATTAAATTGTGTTAGTCAGCGGAGAGGTGGAGTGCTGGCGGTAATGTACACACGCCAATGACATTTAAATTAGTCTTTTAAATACTTGTATTTGTAACTCATAAACCGTCATAAGCGTGACTTTATTTAGTAAATTTTTGTTCATTTTTTGTTCAGGTAACATTTTTGACAGAATGCCTCAAAATCACAAATCCAAAATTTTCTTTTATTTAAAGCAATCGCCTCGCCAGTGCTAAGCCATTTTCGAGCTGCTAACTTGAAACTGTAATTATTGTGGAAAAAATAAGTTTTGATCCAATTTTGAGTGCGTCGGTTGTGGAAGCAATTGTACTTTTATATGATTATATTTGTTTTTCTATTGTTAGTCTATTATTTTTTCCTCAATTTGATACATTTTTTTTTTTGGTAGCACAACCTTGGCACAGATTTTGTCAGTAGTCATTATTTGCTTCAATGAGATTATCGGCGTTACAAATCTGAAATTTAGAAAATATCATAAAAATATAACGCCATTTTTTTAATTTGAAATTATATTATTAACTTACTTTACGTTTCTCTTCTTTACTTTACAGTTACAAAAGCAAACGACAGTTTTGGTTTTGGATGTTGACAAATTAAGTTGAGGTAAGTTGAACTATTAGTCACTTACACCAATTGTATTATGCCTAAAAAGTTTGGTTTTAAAGTTTGAAACAACCAAAAGTAATTTCCAGTGCAGCTGGGTAGGTCTCCGGTAATTATGGTGAGCAGAGAAGTTCTCTAAGACACTAAAAGTGGCACTTTCTATTATCATATAAATCCCAACGTTTAAAACAATAAAAAATCTTAAAGTTTTTAATGAAAATTCTTAACGCAGATTAAGAGCTTTACATGTTTTTTCTACGTTACACATGCGTTAGATAAAGCAGATATGGCACATTATCCTTATATTCCTTACAACTGAAGCAAAAGTCAATATTTGGTGGAATGTTTGATATTTTAGTATGACGTTTGTATAGGACCATTTTTTTTTTCATTTAAAAATAAATTCTTTATTGGATATTTGGCAATATCTGAAACAATCGTTAGCTCAAAAAATGCATTTTATAAAAAATTAAATTTTGTTGTTAAATTTTTTTCACTACTACGGAGTTTTTTACAGAAATAAATTCTTAAAAGTTCATATAAGAATATTTATAAAATGATTTTTTAATTCCAACTACTCTTATTTTATATTTGAAAAATAAAATAAATACTTACTGCACTTTAACTAAGACCTTAAAAATTCGATGCAAAAATATATCTGTTGATATTTTAAGATAATTAATAACAAATGTTTGAATTCTCTTTTTAATTTTAACAAAAAATTTTTTATTTTTTTAAACGAATCAAAAAACCAATTAAACTTCAGTAAAACAAAAATCTTACGATTTATGACATCAACTTGACAAAAATAATAATATTTTGTGCAACTAAAGGTGATGTTTTTTTGAGAGATTTGTGTCCAATTTAAATAAACAAATTGAAATGTTTTTAAAAGTGGATACCGAGATGTTATATGAATTTAGTTAAGATTATCTTAAAATTGTTAAACTAAAATTAGTAAACAAACGGCACTGACTATTTTAGTTGTTTAATAATAAAAAAACATATAACAAATAACACATAGTTGATAGTTTAGTAGTTAAAAAATTTTTTTATAAAAGTCTTTTATAGCATTTCATTTTTATTTTTAATTCTCAAAATTAGTTTTTACGTGTATTTGATCTATTAATAATATACAAAAACATTTATTAAAAAATAAATATCTCTAAAACCTTAAAGAAATGTGCATTTTGATTTCAAGTTTTTGCTATTTGTTGATAATTTATTTTAAAATAAAAGTAAATAATTCTAATAAAAATAAAGAAATAATTTAAATTATAGAATGTGATTCCTTTGATATACAAGAAGTTGGAGATAGTTTTGATTTTTGGCTCAACTTAACCAAGAGTAAAGTTTAGTAACTTTTATTAAAATATTTTATGAGTGAAGAATTTTTAATAAATCTATTAAACAATAAAATAAAATTTTTGTAATATATTGAAAAGTATAAGAAAAAATATATGAAACCTAAAAAATATCTTATTTTTCAAAGTAGTGTTTTCGACACCAAAGTCTGTAGCATTTTCGAACTTAAAAATAATATTTGATTGATTTTAATGATATGTATTGCGATAGTAGCTTTACATGCACACAACATGTTTTATCAAAGTATCTTAAAATACTTGATTTATAATTGTTCGACAAAAATTCTTAAACGCAATTAAAATAATGAATTTATTTTGTAATGTGTGAGAAAAATTGATCCAAATATTTCAGCATTTACAAGTAACAATAAAAAATGCCTGCTGTTATTAACAGGTTAAATGTAGGGCACCGCCCACCCACAAACAATTTGTTCACTAAAATGGAACATTATTTACGTTTAGCTACAGGCACAATATAAATATCCATTTAAACAGTGTTTGGAATGAGAAAAAAACATTGTGAAAATGTTGCAACTTGTAAATATTTCACGAGAGCTATTGTGAAATATGAAACAAAAGACTCAAGCAACGAACTTTAACATTTAATAAAATTCCAACCCAAATGTGCATACAGATTTTATAGGCCGATTGGAAGTTAATAAGAAAAATCATATCATAACGAAAGTTGCTTCGAGTTAATGTCAACACTTACGCTTACATAATACATAATATTCTCTAGTAGAATCGCAGATGAACTACGGATTAACATGTTTTGCAGATTTTGCAGAAACTTCATGATTGTAATGATGTGTCCATAAAAAATATAGAAAAAAGTATTGGAATATATAAAACTATTGCAGTGTTATTTCAATTATTAAATAATTTTGTTTCATATTAATATAGTAAATATGAACTAGTCATCATCAGGAATCAACCAGCGAGCTGTGTTTTCTTTATCCAGGAAGCAGGGTTGTTATTTTTTAGCCCATTGGTTTTTAATTTGGCTTGTTTGACAGTTGGACATAAAAATAATATAAATACACAATATTTTATTTACCGCTTAATCATTTTGCTTAAAAAAGGGCATTTTTAAATGGTTCGTTTTTAGGTAATTATTCTCTTATAAATAGTGCTACTATAAAATAGGATTAAAAGCAAACCAATTTGAATAAAAAATTACTTTGTAATTAATTTTATTAATTTTTGTGCTCACCATAAAGCTTTTTTAGATAATGGCAAATATCCATGCTCAACAGTTTTTTGAAATTACTGGGTATTACTGTTTTGTTTAATTTAAATTCGTGGTACCTGTAAATCCTGGTACATTTAATATGCAGACTTATTTGTTAGACCACTAAACATATGTTGCATTTGATTTACATTGATCAAATTTGTTACATTATCTATTGTTGTTTTCCGCAACAGCAATGCACATGCAGACTATTAAGATCTAAAAATACTCTCAAAAGATCTCAGATGATAGATATTTGTTACTTTTCGAAACAAATGTATGCTTAGCTCAGAAATAAATTTATATAATTAAAAATTAATTTCATTAGATTTTTTTTTGTTTACAATTAACTTTACATACTTTTCTATCGGAAATAGAGATTATTGCTATTAAACAAAATATGTTTATTATAAATTAATTTATAGTTAGCATACTGCATGTTAATGTGAGTTCATAATTTAATAATATAAATTTTTCTAAACAATAAATACAGAAAACATAAATTCGCCAATGTGTTTCATGACTAATACTTGTTTTAATAAATAATTATATGAAAAGTTTAAATTATTTAACAAAAAATAATAAAGACAAAAAATAATAAGAAAAAGTAATAAATTGTAAGTACATATTATTTATTTTATTAGATATCATAATAATTTTGTATGATTGAGTGAGACATAGCAAAATTCAAATTTATTAGAATGTATATATATAATTTTCCGGTTACTCAAGAGAATAAAAATTTTCCGTAGTCAAAATCGCTGTCAAAGTCTTTTATATAATTAAGTTCAAGTTTCGATTTTTTAAAATAATTTTATAATTATAAACCAAAACTTGTTGTTCTACTTAGAAAATGTAAACAAATTCCACATGAAATATTTTATTTATTTTTAAGACAAAAACTCATAACGCTGGAACCGTTTCTGCTAGAATTATATTGTGGTAAATTGGCTCAAACTAAATTGCAAGCTTCCTTTAACAAAAATTCGCAGCTTTTCGTATTTAATTTTTGTTAGAATGTAATAAGTTAGAGAATTTATCCGCTAGTCCGGACACGTAGCTTAACATAAATTTTATTAACTTAGTTTAAAAGTGTTCTTTATACCCGGTTTATTGAACCATTCCGTGCCAAGGTTAGAAGACCGATCATAATTGTACAAAGAATTAAAAAAAAAACAAATGAAAAATTTAATTATAATAGAAAATCAAAAATTTAACCAGTTGATTAAGTAAATAAAATATTTATGTAACTGTGTTTTATATTGAAAATAAATCGAAATAAATCGAAATAAATGTATGTATGTTTTTATATACAAATGTTATTATAATATGTAAAAATAAAATAATTAAATTTATTTATGACACCTTAACATCGCAAAAAAGTTATATTTTGTGAATTTTACTTTAAATTTTACTTTAAGCGTTTTATTTAATTATAAATCATCATAAAAAGATAATACAAGTGTAGGTACAGAAATTGAATTTGCGAAAATATTTGTGACTAATGAATGCACGTTTATAAATAAGATACATAGCTAAACACTTGTATTTGGTTTACATATTTATGGTATGTATATAAATATATATAGATGTGTATTTATATAATTATCATGCGCTTCAATGGGTATTTTGTATTCAAAAGTATTATATTTTACATAATTTTTCATTATGAATGCAATTTTTGTTTAAAACTTGCTTTATGATCGCTTAAAAGTCTCTTGGCTATTTTTTAAATTACTTTTATAAGATATAGACATGTTTGGCATATTTAAAAGTTATTATTAATTGGAAAGTATTTTTTAGTTTTCACTTTTATTGCACTTCAATTGGTATTTCAGTATTTACTTGACAATGCGAATTACTTCAGTATTATCAAATACAAAATATTGTATCATTATCAGAGCAAAAATAACTTTATTTTGTAATTATTCTATTAATAAAACATTTGGAAAAAAATTTCACACTAAATCGTAATGATTAAGCATTATTGCTAAATGGTCAAGATAATTTCCTATTAGTATGTATTCATTTTATTTCTGATCTTATTGTATTTTTAAAGTTATGAAATGTAAAGGGTTCTCTGAGTATTTTTAAATAGATTTGGAACTTACATAAAAATAATCATATATAGTTTTGATTTTCATTTCATTTTGCATAGTTTATTTCTATATATAAATATTGCCTACGACTGATTGTCATGCTTCGCTCTGATGAAGAAATCAAAAATACTTCGAAACATCAACAATAAATTTTATAAAGAATTAAGCTAGATGAAATAGATTATAAAATAAAAATTTAAAATTAGTATTTCTATTCAAATTCATAAAAAAATATTTAAAACTCGAAAGTATTAATGAAATGAATTAAAAACAAAGGAATAATATAGGATTAACGATTTCGTCGTC